TTCGCAACCCCTCCCACGAAGTGGCGTGCTGCATATGGATTGTGAGAGGAACTAAAGAAAAAGAAAGAAATCTAAAACACGGCCCCAACCCTGCACCCTAAAACGCTAGGGCAAGGGGCAAACATGCCCTTACCCCTCTCCAACGACTGAGAGAGGAAACCTCCCTTCACCGAAGAGAGGTAGAAAGCTGTATAGCTTTAGGAGTAGTGGTAGGTAGTAAAAAGAAAGATATATTCCATGACATGGCAGAACGCCAGTTAAAAGAAAGATATGTGAGGTAAGAGAAAAATATATGGCTGTCCCCCGATGAGGAGAAGGCAGCTTTAAAAATAAAAAAAAATAAAAAAATCTAAAACGAATCTAGAAAAACTACAGAAAAAAGAAAAAGAAAACTTACGTGTGATGCTGAGGCTGCCCGTGAAAACTTACCTGTGATGCTGAGGCTGCCCGTGATAACGCCTCCACTTCCTCTTGGGGACTCCTGGTCCGCATCACTTCTGTATGCGCCATGTGGCGCTTTGTTTTTGTCCTCTTTTTTTTTTTTTTTTTCATGGAGTGCCCTGCCAACGAGGCCATGAAGGGCCCTTCCAACCTAACCTGTTCAAACTGACAAGGTTCCATATCCTGATGGTCGTATGGAGGGCCAGGTGCTCAACCGAAAGGAAAGAATACACCTTTGGCTTTGTGCAGGCGAAAACAGAAATTGTAGAAGCGATCAGGGCAAATACTGTAAAAGCAGCAAAAAGTCCGAGAGAAGATCTAGGGAGCATGACAGTCCAGCAACAGAAAAAGGAGGCTCTGAAAGCCTTTGCAGACATACGGCTGGCCCAGACAATAAGATAGGGGAAATCAATGGAGACGGAATAACTGGCTGGCCGGCGAAGCCCCCTCGCGCCATAGACCCTCCCAGAGGACAAACTAGCCAACAACAGAAAAGGCTGCAAGAGGGGGGAGGGCGGGCCTACCTCAAGAACCCCCGCCTCAAACCCCTCCCCTCCATCTACACCGATCTCCCCTCTCCCCCATGACCCCCAGCCAGAAGACCTCCCCTTCCGTCTAC